CGCGGCCCGAGTGCACGCGCGCGCGCGCCACCCCGCCCAGCCCCCCCCCCCCCCAGCCCCACACCCACACCCGCACCCACACCCCACACCCACACCCACACCCACACCCAGACACACCCCACACCCACACCCACACCCACACCCAGACACACCCCACACCCACACCCACACCCACACCCACCCTTGAAGTATCATGTCTTTGGTTTGATTTTGTTTTCAAAATTGAATCATTCGGACAGATACTTGCCACTTGATAAAATTTCGGTGAAAAATTGAAATACTATCTAGTATTGTGGTAACTTCTACACACCCACGCCCACACCCTCTTTGTACACGAGGATTTATTGGAACAAATGACATTTTATTTTAAACTCTCCTAATCGAGCTTTGTTCGCAAGTTCTGAATTTTAAAAAATATGCACATTTCTGGGTGTGGGTGGGTGTAGATGTGGGTGCGGACACCTGCTTCATTCACACCCACACCCCACCCACACTCACACTCAGACTCACACCCTACTCATGCCCACACCTCACCCACACCCACACCCTTTGGGTTCCGAAAAACGTTGAATCTTCGTCAGAATTCCACAGTCAAACCCTGCTGATTTCACTTTTTTCTCACCAATTGGTCGATCAACAAAAAATCGTCAAGTTGTTGTGTACGACTACTCAAGATAGTTACAAAAAAAGGAATCAATGCTTCACAAAAATTGAAACAACCAGAGAAAAATTCACAGAGAGTGAGTGAGAGGGAAGGTTTAAGTGAAAGAGATCAAGGTGCATGTTCTTTCTCTGCCAGAGATGTTAACACCATTTTCAATTCTTTTTCAGCAACAACAACACATTCTCGAACAGTGTAGGTCTGACAAACAACACAGAAATGTTTTGCGATTCACTTGAACAGCTGTTCCTACTCTATGTACACGAGGATTTATTGGAACAAATGACATTTTATTTTAGAGTCTCCTAATCGAGCTTTGTTTGCAAGCTCTGGATTCTAAAAAAGATGCACATTTCTGGGTGTGGGTGGGTGTAGGTGTGGGTATCAGTGATGATATTCATCATCATCTCATATTCACACCCAGATTCACCGACAACTGGAGTGATGGGGTATAATGTACAGAACATCTATACCGCGAGTGGAAGTAATGCTACTCATCCAGCTTGTCAATATTGATCATAATAAAATATACACAGCAGTGAAAACAAAATAGAACATCGTCCATCACCATTTTTCATGGCAGCTGATATTTTTACGGTATCCACAGAAGAGAAACATACTGGATTTTATTTCTATCGTGAAATTTATTGATAGGTGATTCATTGGGATTCGTTGAGTATGACGGTATTTAAGCACATCCATAGCCTAACAACGCTGAGAGATTTTTGAGCATTTTATCAGGCATAGGAATAAATGCTGAAAAGAAACAAATAAAGGAATGCATCGAAAGCTTTTAATTAGAATATTTCGCAAAAGAAAGTGAAAGTGTGGTGGTAAGGAAATCTATTGATGTTTTGTATCTTTACAGTTTGAAATCTATTTGGGTAGATTTTATTGAATTGACTAACAATTTTTATTGTTTTAGATCTTTTCTGAATTTATCAACCTTCTAAAGTCCATAAAGGCTAAGCAATGGCTGAATCCTCAAATGAATCAGAAATGCATGTATCTTTTGTCCATGATATGATAAAATCATTGGCAGATGAAATTGCAGAACTTTTGGATCTCGATGGTAGTGAAAGTAAAGGTCAAATTATGAATGATTTGTTCGAAAATGGTCGACAATCATTGGTCAACTATGAAGAGGACATTATATGCGAACGATATAAAGATGTGATGAATGGCAGTGAGAACAAATTGATGTTCTTATTAAAAAAGTATTATCGGCAAAAATGGGAAGTGCAGTATGGCAAATCTCATCCATGGTTTATTTCATTTATTGAACAATATCAGAATGGAGAATGCCATGATATCTATGAACGTGTTTTAACTCATGCAGCTGAATACGGAGATAAACATACGGAAAATTGTCGAGTATTATCGATTGTTTTGCAATTTTTATTTGACACTATCGATGATGAATGTTGGACAAAAACAAAACTCTTCGACGACAAATACTTAAAAGAACAGCCTATTTTCGATTCTCAATATTTGAGAGAAACTGAAAATTCTGATGATCAATTTTTAAAAGAAATAAGCATTTGTGATGGTCTATGGTATGCAATCTCAAACGATGGTTTAAAATCAATTACAAAATATTCTGATTATATTGTTCCAGACGTAATGCATGAGCAGTTGAATAAAAGTCAATCAGTATTATTTCAGGCATTACGTGAATATTATCGAACGCAATTATTTCCATTGTTGAAAGAAAATAGAATTTTATATAGGCAAGAATTGTATGACTTAGCGTTAGATAATGTTGCTGAACATGGTTGGTTAAACGGCATACAAGCAATCCAGCAAAGAGTAGCACCAAAGCATTACAAAAAGTTATTGGAAAACTTAAATTCCGTCCTACAAAAACGAAAAGCACAAGCCAATCAAGCACTAGAACAACAAGAACAAAACACAGAACAAGAAGCGCAAGTGGGAAACAAAAATGCCAAGAAAAAAGAGGAAAGCAAAACACTAAAAGCACAGGGCCAGAACGAAGATCCTAACGGACAATACAAAAGCAAAAAACTAGAGAAAGAAGGGGAAAACAAAGAATCAAACAGAGAAGAAGAAGACAAGGAACAAAAGCAACAAGCGACATCCAATTCACAGGGTATTAATACCTGTTCGGAAAATAAGCACACTAAAGCAAACTTAACAGAAGCAGCTGCAGCATGTAACCAAGAGCCAGGTAAGCAAAGTCTTGAGTAATCTTTTTTCCTCTTAAACCTATCTGCCCGAAATCTCAATTTCAGAGTTGAAAAAATAATTTTGTTAGAAAATGAGGATAACAAAATCTCCAGTTTTACTAGTGAATCTCTACTTCGGATTCTCCTACTTATCTTTCAGGGTGATGGTGTGGGTGTTCACACTAATTTCTTCTGTGCCCTATTCCACGTGTACAGCTTGGAAGCTGAATAAATACTAATAATTTTCATTTTTCTACAGATGAAGAACGAAAGCCTAATAAAACCAATGACTTGGATAATTCATCGAAAACTACTAGTGAAGACGAACAAGATGATATTGTTCCAAGGACACCATTGAAAAACAATAAAATATTTATCGCTGGTCTACCAAAGACTATGGCCAAAAAACATCTGCTAAGTGCACTTTCGCGTACGTTTTCGTCTATCGGTCAAATCAAAGTAATTAAAAGGGAAGTACTATGAAACAAATTTTCTGTGCCACTATTTCATTTTTAGATTAACAAGAAAACAAAGGAACCTTGGATAGATTTGTATAGACAAAAAGATGATAAATCTAAACTTTCTGGTACGGCATGGATCACGTTTGAAGAAGAAGAATCAATGATCAAAGCAATTAAAACATATAATCGTGAGCCAGAGCAAATTTTCATCAAAAAAAGGAAGAATATAATTATCGTTTACGTTTCAGAACAATGCGTACCGGTATTCAATGATGCACGAATCTATGTCAGCGAAGCAAGAATGAAAAATGACAGAGCAAAGCCAGAACCACCAGCGCAGCCAATACAGCAATCACCAGGTAATGTTCATACACCAGAGAAAAAGGATTTATATTCCAATACTTCTGGGTAACTTTATATAAAAAACATGCGGTCGAAATTTTGTGTTCAATCAATTTGATGCACTTTGCAGCTCTTAAGTAGATTTGGGACAGAAAGCATATTTGCTCTAATCTTCAGGTGGGAAATTTACTGTTGAGTTATTGCTTGAATACGCGAACAGTTTTCGTTCTTTTCGTCATTCTGAGCAAAAACAAGTAGAGTAACCCATGGGGTGGGGTATTCTTCAGATTCTAAGAGAGCGAAGAAAAACGCAGACTGCAAGAGACTTCGATTGAAAACACGAAATTCTATACTCATGAAATCTACTAAAGTTTAATATTTTTATGAAATTGTTTTTTAATTTAAGAAAGGTCATTATGAATTTGAATTTTATTTAATTGTTTTCTTCCTTGTGGACGATCTTTTTATTTTATTTTTAGTAATGTTTCGGCAACGATGTTGCCCTCTTCAGACTATTTTATTTTTATTTAAACATCTATGTATATGTCAGCGTCCAAACTGAGATGACGTTCAATCTCAGATTGGCCTAGGCGAATGT